TTCGAATGCATATCTTTATATATTAATAATTCCATGTGATGATATATTTATGACATACCATATACTTCACCTCAAATATATTTCCCGCACACCCCAGATATATTTCCGAAATCTATTTTCAATACCCCGCGAAAAAAAATTCCCGAAAACCGACAAAATTTCATTTTTTCATTGACATTCCAAAAAATTATTCAACAATAACTCAAAAATTCCGATTAATCCCATTTTTTTTTCCAATAAAAAATCCGAACTGTCCGACGTTTACAAAATTGCCGGGCAATTGGTGAATATTTTCTTCACCGTGCAATTGATAATGAGTGGTAATTGATAATGAGGTAATCCATGACCGTTGAAAAACATAACGCACTCTTTGTTGCGCTTTTGACCCAGCGGATAGTGTATAGGCCGACTCTATGAGCCAGTGTGCATTGCACTGGTGTTTGTCCCGTGCAAACTTTGTTTTTGCAAATAGAACCACGTGTACCCGTAGCCCACTCACCCTATGTTCCTTCCCATCCGGGCTTCAAACTCACCCTCAAACGTACCCCCTCCCTCTGTGTCCTCAACCGCTCGTTTTACTCGCCACCTCTGTCTCCAAATCCACATCCACCCACCCTTTATAAACTACCCCACCTTTCCACCCCCTTTTCACCCCATTCTACCCCTTTTCACCCCGTTCTACCCCTTTTCACCCCTTCCTCGTCCCTTTCCATCCCTCATCCCGGTTTTGCACACACGCGACAGGTGCCCAAAACCTCTTTGAGCGTCAAATTGAGAATTACTCCCACCTTCTTCTTAAATAACAACTTGTTATTTATAATCAATATTTTTTATCATTTTGATTTCTCCGTTTTGGCCATGAATTCTTTATTTTATTTAATTTGTTTATTTGATTCGCTTTATTAAGTTTGAATTTTTTTGGTTCGATACTCGTGACATTTACTGTTTCCCGCGGTTTTTAATGAAATTTGGATTTTTAAAGGTTAATTAAAATTCAAAGATCGAAAATGCAATAAAGACAACGGAACTAACAATTATTGAATTATTACAGAAATTACGATATCATTCAATTAAAAAATGTAATACAATGTATTATAACTCATGAGTTAAATTTTTTTTTTGTACGAGTGAAGGGAATAATTGTTTTTATTGCATAATTCGGGATTGATGGAAAAATATAATTCATTGAGATGGTCGGGCTGATGCTGTCGGATGAAAACAACAACTTGAAATGTAAATGTTAATTGCACGGGAACAGGTTTTTGTACGGTACTCGTAACTCGAGAGATGAGTGAAGGTGAACACTGAAATATCATTGGATACAGCAAACGTACAATGAATCCACTGTTATACGTTACGACGAATCCAGTGGTAACGAAACATTCGACACGAATATACGACGAGGTGAAATTCAAACAGAATGAATCGGTGATTGAAGTTTCTAGAGGGAGAGGCCGAAAGGTGAGACGTGGGTTGATGTATACTAATTGAAGGGTCCAGTCTTGGAGACGCACGGTAGCCCATTCTGCCTCATTAACACCTCCAGGGATGGACCACACGCAAATTTTTGATTGAACTCAGACGAAAAAAAATTATATTTTTATCATTCCACTCATTCTGTTTTTTTCCCCCGCATTTTTTCAAGTGGTCGTACACGGAAAAAATAAATAATTTCCTGAAGTAGATGTTACTTGTTCCAAGTATTTATTTTTTTCTGTGTACTTGAATTAAAAATACTAATTAATTCGATTTTTCTATCGAGAGAAGAAAATCCCGAGTGATTAATGAATTAATTAATTGTTATCAGAAAGAATAATGAGAAGTTCCTGGATTTTTTTTTTCGGAGTAAATGGAATTTCATTAATTCTAGAAATGGAATTCAATATTTGATGGATATTGATGATTCACGCTATGATTAATATTAATAATTAAATTAATAATGTATCGAATGAATCGAAAATTGACGGAATTGTTAAAACGTCAAACGGAAAGGATTGACGAGTCAATTTATCAGGGAATCGTCGTGTGTGTGACGAAAGATGATCGATCGCACAGTTTCTCAGTAGATGAGATACTTGTGCCGGGTGGGTGGTGGGTGGTGGGTGGTGAAATGAGCGACAGAAAAAGAGAGCGATGAGAGACCAGAGGGGTAGGCCGACTCTTGAAGAATTGAATGGAGTGGACTGAGAATTTTGTGTGTGGGTTTCACTGTAAAACTGAGAAGCAGAAGGGCAGGATATAGGGTCCGTCCTTATCTGCTGATAGCAGGCACTCGAAACCTCCCCATAACTTTCGTCCTGCGCCCTACGTCGGGGGTTTTGTAATACGGGTGCCATGATGAATCGGCCATATTGCCTGCCACACGGGATTGCCATAAAAATTTGTCAATATTTTGTTTTTTAATATTTTGTTGACACAGAAACAACAAATTTCGTTTCGCGAATTTCCCTTAATCGTTAGAATTTTCAATTATTATTCAACAACAGATGAAAATACTTTCTTATTCAATTATGAAAGCTTCCGGAGACTTTCTCTTTGATTTTTAGATTCCAGAAAAATTATCAGTTATAATTATGAATTTGCAATAATTTTAAAAGAACGGATAATACTTTAATTTGATTTTTTTGTCTTTATGTACTTATGAAAATTTGAGATTATTTGAATAATGGAAGAATTAACTAAATAATTAATACCAATCACTCTCTCGTCATTGCAAAGTTTTCGACAATGGAACTAATTAAATTACCTTTAATTAAACTAATCAAGTTTAATTCAGTTCAGATTAATTAGTTCTTTTAAATAAATTCATTCAATTCAATATTAACACACGAAGTTGCGCTTATTTATTCATTTAATTTATCAGTTTCAAAGCAATTTTTTTTCTCAATTCCCAAAATTTTTTTCTCAATGCAATTTTTTCACTGAATATTACTGAGACTGAGGTGAAATGGCAGCTGAGGTCGCAAGACTGGTCAACTCGACTAATCCTCGACTGACACTCGATGGAAACTTATATAATGGATGCGTAAGAGAAGAATGGACCACCCATGATGATGAGGAGACCACCTCTCGACGATGAGTCGAGGGCTCTTCAGGGTTGGACGCGCCAACCACTCAAAATACGTACGAGACACTAAATGTGAATGTAATATCGACCCTCACTCTATCCTCCATCACCCAGCGAAAAATTTCCACCTCCCAAAACAAAAAGGCCACATCCAAAAAACAAGAATCAGAATTGAAGAATTCAACTTCCAAATGAATACCTCGAAGGAATATCGCGCATCGTGCGATTACCGCGCGTCGAAATAAATTTCAATTTTTTTTTATTGCATCCGCTAATGATTTTCAAAAGACCCACCAAGTGTGAAATTTTGAAAACATCGATTTTTATAAATAATACACCAAAATTTCACGTGCGTATCTCAAATAGTTTTTAACTATTAGTAATGGAATTATTTATTTTATTAACGCGTTTTCACATTTTCGGTATTTAAAATTGATTTGAATTATGGATTATCGATTGGATCGATTGGATTTTCCTTTCTGTAAATATGGAATATTTATTAATGGAGAAATATATCCGAAAAATGAGAAAACGTTTGATAAAATAATATTCATTAAATTCCCAAAATTCAGTTTTTTAAACAGTGACAGTAGGTGTGCCCCTTAAGACATTTTTGAGTTAATGTTCTCGAGTTTCCAGGAGGTCGAAGAATTCCAGGCCAGTCTGTCTCGAGTGCGTAATGGAATCGCAAAAGCAAAGAGTTGTGTAAACTCATCGTTGACAACCAAAAATGTCCCTTTTCTCTTCCTCATCTCATTAAAAAAGAGAAAAAAAAAAGCCCAATAATTGGTGGACAGTGGAATAATTTCTCGAGGTTTGTTTAAACATTCAGCCATCAATCTCACCCCCAGCCCTGAAAATCCGAGGACACACGCCTGAATAATACAGATCCATATCAACAACGGCCAGACGCTCTCGACCCCTCAAATAACGCCTATTTAATTATTATCCGGTTCCTGAGAGATAGAACATGAATTCATAATTCATTCTCTTCATCAGGATACCCTATCCCCTAGTTTCTCCTGAACGAGCGCAGAATTCACTGTTTATTCCCATTTATTCGTTTTTTATTATCTCTTTTGAAGAGAGCGTAACGGATTCGAGGACTCGAACTCGCAAGTTTATATTTAAACGTCGGTTTTTCACACATTATTAACTCGGATCGTTCGATCTCTCAGTTGTCTCATTTCGCGGGACAAATACAACTTCTTGCAGTTTGCAAATAATGTTTGCAGGATTTTTCAGCGCTGCCACGAGGTGAATTCACACAGTTTAATTTTCTGTCAAGTCGTGATATTTTACTTTATAATTTCATTCAATTCTAGATTTTTCTGGATAAATCCTATAATTTTCCCCTCATTTTCCCCACGGCAGTGACAATTAAACAATAATTCTCGACAATATTTTCACTTTTCTGTTTCATTCTTTTTTTTTTAATCCTTTAGTAACCTCCTGCATCAATTATAAATAAAAAATTATCGCGGCAATCATTAATTGTCATTGCTGATGTGATTAAATAAGACCATTATAATTTTTCATTTTGTTAAATATCAATTGATCTAGAGAACTATTGAATTTAGGACGAACCACCAGAAGACCGTTTTTCTGGAAAATTAAGTTAGCTTTACAAAAGTCCCATAACATTTTCCCCTGAAATCGATACCCATCGAGATAAATCCATAATTGCTGAGAATTTTTAATTACTTTCATCACATTTTATCACTTCAATTCTGATAACAGATTTTGAAGTTTTATCTTCATGTTAAAAATACTAGAGACATCTACAGAAGTTCGAGGGCTTTAGAATCTGCGATACCATCCGACCATAAGAGAAATTCGAAGATAAACTTCAATCGATAAAGAAGAAACCCGAATTAACGATTAAAGATAGAGAGATGAATAATTCTTCGATAGATTGCACTGGTGATGAATTACGACTGTTTATTTCTCGTCATGCACATTTGCTCGATCCAACGTGACACCGGTATTTAGTAACAAATAAACTTAATTAATAAACTTCAGAAAAAGTAATAATGATAATTATTCCTCTATTCGTCAGGCACCTGAAGTCAATCTCTCGTCTGCACGTTCGGGTAATTGATTCATAATTGTTTCTAGGTTACCCTAATTGGTATTATTTTTACAAATAAAACAATAATAATTGCAGTATCTTAACGAAAATACGAAGGACCTGAAGTGGCGGAGGATAAGGGATTTCGAGGCGAAGATGCCAACATCCAGGATTGACCCAGTGATCACAAAACTAGAGAGCCCAGAGTTCAAATCGATTTTTACACCTGAGCTGGAGCTACTCCAGTCTGTATTCAAGAAGTACAATCATGAATTAAGGATTGCTGGAGGTGCTGTCAGGGATTTACTCACTGGTAAAATTCCCAAGGACATTGATTTTGCAACAACAGCAACACCGGACGAGATGAAGGAGATGTTCAACCGAGAAGAGATACGAATGTTGAATTTGAAAGGTGAAAAGCATGGAACTGTCACTGCCAGGATCAATGACAAGGAGAATTTTGAAGTGACAACCCTGAGGATCGATGTTGTCACTGATGGAAGACACGCTGACATCGAGTTCACCACTGATTGGAAGCTAGATGCCAACCGGAGGGATTTGACCATCAACTCCATGTTTATGGATTTTGAAGGACGAGTTTATGATTATTTTTTCGGATACGACGACCTGAAGAAGAGGCGAGTGGCTTTTGTGGGGGACGCAGGGACCAGAATCTGCGAGGATTTTTTGAGAATTTTGAGGTGATTTTTTTGAAATTTAAATGAATTTTTTAATTGACAAGTAGTAAACTGGGACAAGCGCATTTTTTCGAGGACAATTTTTAGCGAATATCTCGGAATTGAAGGGAGATAGCAGTTTCTTCATCTGTATATTTTTTGTAGAGAAAGGTCAGCGCTATAAGAAAGGTCATCATGAAAATATCAATATCTACCTTCAATTCTGAGATATTTCGAAAAAACTCATCGCGAATTTTTTCATTTTCAAGTTTCATCGTTTATAAATTATTATTTTACGCCATAATCATCATTTGATATAAATTATTAATGCCTTCGTTTTCAAGAATCGATATTTGGAAATTGAAAAATCCTCAAGACATTATGAAAACCACTGAAAATTTACAACCCTTTCCTCCATAAAATTCAATCTTCCAAGTGATTAATTCTATCGATAATAAATCCCTAGATACTTCAGATTCTATGGAAGAATATCAGAGCACCCTAACAGCCACGAGGAGTCAATAATCACAGCAATAAAACAGAACGTGGAGGGACTCGAGAGAATATCCGGGGAAAGAATTTGGTCAGAATGGAATAAAATTCTCGATGGCAACTTCGGTGTTGAGCTCACTAAAAAAATGGTGGAATGCGGTGTAGGAAAATACATAGGTCTTCCGGAAGCCCCGGACCTGGTGAATTTCGAGAGGATATGCCAGAGCGCCAAGATCCAGAGATTGAAATTACATCCGGTTACGATGATCGCATCGATGCTGAGAAACGAGCAAGAAGCCCTCAATATCCATTCGAGACTTCACTGGTCCGCTTACAATCGTGATCTTGCCCTCTTCCTCGTCATCCACAGAGAGGATAAAATCTCGGTTAATCCTCTCCATCCGTATCAGTACATTGTCCTCAATTCATCTGGCAAGATCAAAGACATTCGTGAGTACATTGTCGAGGTACTCAAGTACAAAGGTACCCCAGAACTTGCTGAACAATTTGAGAAGTGGATTCCACCAAAGTTTCCGGTGAACGGTAATGACCTCAAGGAACTCGTCACTCACCGCAGATTGATTGGCCAGGCCATCATGAGACTCAAGAAAATTTGGTTGGATGGGGATTTTAAAATACCCAAAGAAGAACTTTTAAAACGTCTGCCGGAAGTACTCGAAGAGATCAATGAAGTGTGGAATCAAGAAAAGAAGAAGGAAGTGGTTAGTGATAGTAAATAAATTGTTATTACAAATTATTTTGTGCACTTTTTTCTACGACACCCCAACCGTTAGTTCTATCCCCTCGATAGTTCTCCGCATTAATTAAATAGAATTAATTGGTTATTGAAGGGGTGAACAGCAACAAATCGATTTGATCCCTCGCGTTTATTCAAGTTTTCGGGGATTATCTCTGTTTCCAAGGGAGATACCGAATTTTTTATAATTATCTCTTTTGAGGAGTGCAAGAAAAGCTGTAAAAAAGGTTCTCACAAAAAATACGCCATCTCTCTTGTATACAGAGATAATTGACTCATCCGTCACCACCTTGCTTGTGAGTTCTCTCATTCTTCATAAAAAAATTCTTTAACATAACGAAAATTAATGTGAATACAGAATGGATAATTGAGGAAAATGCAGTAGCTTCATCTCCTCATCCACTGAAGAAAAATAAATCTCATTGAATCGAACTCAATATTCTCCTCAACATCCGCTTGAAATGAAAAAAAAATCGAAATCGTAGAAAATAATGAACTGAAGTTGTACAAAACCATTTGTACGTAATTTCTCCGCCAATATTAAAATAGTTGTTGAATATTAAATATCCGATAGCATCGGGATGAGAAAAAAACCGAAGCCCTTGAAGCGAGAGAAGCCGGTAAATTGACTCAAATGCTTTCCGATGGAAATGCGACTTTCCATTTTTTTTTCCCCCCCATTTGGTTGATTTTTTTTTACTCTTTGGAGCGTCGTTGACCCGACAACGAGCAAATTGCCAGCGATTTGGCTGGCACACGACCTCTTTAATTCCCGATGCAGACATAATATCGAGTAATGCAACGGAAATCAATTTACTGCGACTGAGTGAATTCAGTCATTATTCTCGGCCTGGACAACGAAAAATTAATCACCCTGACCCTTTCATCCTATTTTTTTCCTGAACATTAATTTTTCTGGTTATTATTTTTGAAATATTCGTGGTAAAAAAGAATGGATAAGTCTGATTGGTTCGTCCATTTTTTGGTAAGTAGATTAATTATTTTGAATGGAATTAAATGGAATATCGATTTATCAAAAATTAATTACTCATATTATTATCTGAAGAAATATATTTCAGATATAAATCTGATTTCGGCTAGATAATTCACGGAAATCACAGATATTGTAATCGAGAATAAAATTGCATTTCTCAAATGATTTATTCGCATTTAAAAAATATTGCAATGGCTCAAACCGAAGAATCGAATTGAGAAATTAAAAAAGAGGATAAAACGGTCATATGAGACAATATTTCATTATAATTACCGATTTGAAGAACAATTCGGCGTTTATTTTACCGGAAATTTATTTTTGCACGCGTACAACCCAATAATTTATTATTTAATACTCATTGTTCCACGGGACTGATAATTGTGAGTGCATTGGACGTCTGAAGAGGTAGAACGAAAGGGTGTAATAACACCGACAAATCGACCGCTGGGTGTATTTATTTATACATGAATTTGAGCCTCGGTAAAGCTGACGATCGATTGTGAAGGGGACATGTCCATACCATCATAAAAGTATCATTACGTATCAACAGCAATACCTCGTAATTACAAGGGGATGAAAAAATAAAAATTGATGAGAATAGCGATTTCTTCCGGTTGAGGGTCCTATCATTTTTATCATCAATTCCATCCCTTTGAGACTCGAGTTGACGAGGGATGACTTCAAAGAAAAATTCTCCGGGCTGTTGGAGGAACCGGGGGGTGTTTCAGAGATGTTGTTGTTTTACCCTGTCCAACCCTCCGGGAGAATTCAATTTCCCGGCCAGTTTCAGTAATTAGTGTCACCTTTCTTCCACCCTTTCTACGGATATCTCTCTCCGTCGAGAGGCTGTTGACAAATTTTCCACACCAACTCGTAAAAACCTCGCCTTAGCTATCCCCTTTTTGTTTTTAAGCTGTTGCTAAACCAGTCTTCATTTGAATAACTCATTTTCACCCTCTGGAGGATTTTCCCGGATTTTATTTCGATTTAACTCGGGCGATGTTTAATTTATATCATTTCTTCAGTTGATACTGTTTGAAATTTATTGAGTCAAGTTCAAAGGAATATTTTAATGTGATATTGAGGAGAAAAAATTGCGAAAATTACTAAAATATAAGGGAAATGACTTTTCAGTCGGGGAAAGACCGGGGCTTTGCTAGAATTTTCCGGGAATATCTCGGAACGTAAAAGAGATACCGAAATTTTTATTGGAGCTTCTTTTACAGAGTAAAATGAAAGCTAGAAAAAAGGTAATGATAAAAATATCTGTATCTCTGCTAGTTTTTAAAAAAATAGTTGACTCTACCTGTCGAATCCTTCATTAAATTTCGCAAAGACAGAATTAACCGAAAATTAGTAAAAATTGTAATAAAAATTCGCCCGAGTGCCGTCACGAGGACAATTATCCACCGGTGTGATACCACAGGCTCAAAGACACGTGAATAATTCATGAGAAGCACTGAATTACGAAATTCACGGGAGAGTACGTCAATCAGAGAATCCCTAGGCTGTCCCTGCGGTTGACCAAGGGAATCGTCATCATCTTCAACGTCGGGCCCAGATCCTGAGCTTGAGAAATGCCTGGAGGCAATTGTTCCATTGACGCATTATCCAGAATCTCATGGATTATACGGAGAATTGGCCCATTTCACAAACACATATCCCCGTTATACTCGTGGAGGTGTCACCAGCTTCTATCCCCGGAGAAAGCCCATAATGTCGGGGATAATGGAAACAGTGGTGACAGCCAGTGGTGGCGGTGGATAATGCTCATCGGACGGGCTATGGCACAACGATAAATTTACGCAAATAGGATCTCTCCAATTCTCATATGTCTCTCTACTCTGAATGTTGAGGCCCTACGTATGTCCCATTCTAACTGAGAATATTCCCTGAGAATTCTGTTCGATGCTGTCAGCTGTTTGGAGTATTGCATTCATAAATTCACCGCTATCAGGGATTCACGTCAAATGATTATCTCATTTTCGCGATCGGAATCAAGAAGTTACAGGGGAATATTACTCAAAGTTCGGGGGTAATTAACAATTGTGTACCGAATGTGAGAAATTATTAAAAAATCCTAATCGAAAATTCTAACATCCCCGAAGTTCTAGATCGCATTTCACCGGTCGTAGAAAAATCTCTCCCGTCAATCATTTATATATAAAAAATTGCCAATGATAAAAAAAAGCGATATTGCTTGTAGCGAAGGCCAATTGGATATTATTTTCTCAATTCTGCAACAATTGTTACGGTACAATGTAATCGACATATCGAGAACGATATCCCGAGTTTCTGACTCTGAAATCTTATTTTTCATCCCCTGACTTTTCCATTGGATTTTCTTTTTCATTTCCATCCCCTCTTTTTTTTTTTCTCATTCACATAGAGGCATTGTCGTAGCTGGGATGTAGAGGGTTTTTCATTCGTCTCGTGCCGGAGAGATTCCGCCTCCCTTTCATTCGAACTTTTATGCATGGTCGTACCACTATGGACCTCAGGGTATTCCAAAAGCACCAACACCACCACGATATGTATATATTTGTTGGAAAATCGGACAGAAAGAGTACACGACACCAGAGGGGGATAAAAAGTTTTCATAAAGAATAGCAGTGGGTTGTACTGAGGAATGAGAGAATAAAAAAAGAAACGGTTGACGAAAAATCGGGTAAGGGGAATTGTCCTTTCTTATTCAACTTTCTGGGATATCTACCATTAATTCACGCCCATGAGAAACTTCTATTTGAGACGTGTCACTGCGGATTGGATTAAAACGATATTATAGTTGAGATATGGCACACCGACCGCTCACTTTTTTTATCTACATTTTATAGCATGAGTCGACTACTTCAGGTGTTCATTAATTATTCAAGATAATTAATAGATTCCTGAGATGGATAGATAGTATTTTTATTTTTAAGATAATTCATCTTGTTTCACCAATTTATTAGGAAAAAACAAAAATATCTTCAAACTTTTGAAAATTATTCTAAAAATTGATAAATAATTAATTAATGATTTCACGTTCTCATTTGTTATCCCACTATTTTGGAAATTAATACGATCACAATTCACTGACTTATGAAAAATCGATATCTAAACAATCGCAATCAGAAATCGATTAAAAAATCTAATTACCACCTCCTAATGAATTAGAAATTCTCATCAATATTCCACAGGAAGTTTCAATTATTTCATCTCGAATTGCCGTTCATTTCTGTCCCATTACCCCCCTTCCTTGCAGAAAAAAAAAAAAAAACCACCCGCCACCCCAAAAATTCCCCACGTAATTGAATTCACCGCTGTCACTCCCCGAATTATTGCACCAGCAAAATACAAGAGACCATGATAATTAATCATGCACTCCCCGCCATTATCAAATTAATCCCCTCTTTTTTATAATTAGTAATTTGATGGATGTTATTCGCCTATCAATTATTCATCGAGTTTTTCCATTATATCGCGGTTATTGAATTTGCCATGGTTAAATTGACACGTGATGGGCTTTGAGGGGTACGTTGTAACAACCATTTGTAGGCGCACTAGGCCGTCGACATCGGGTTTTCGTGGGTGGGTGGGCGGTGGGTGGATTGGGGGGGTGGAAGCGGGTATTTGTCGGCAATACCTGCGCGCGACTACACGCGTTACGGTCGTGCCACGGTATTTTCAGTACGCGTCCGACTGCCACTTTGCTCCGACCAGTTGTGCAATTTGTCTTTCATTAATCGGGAAATTGTTGATACATTTATTAGAGGTACTAACCCCATAAAAATAATTTACACAAATCCCTCAGAAATTTTGAACATTCAGTCATTAAAAATATTCATTCATTTATTTAGATCTAAATTTATCGCGGGTTAAAAGTCCAAAAATTTATTTCCGGGTTTAAAGTTCAAATTTTATTTTATTCAACTTCAGTTTCTCATTTTCAATTAGTTTAATTGCATTTGACAATTGATTAGGATTATTTGGAATTATTTTTCGGCGGATGTCGAATTTTTCTTTCGTTTTTTGAGATTTTACCTCCCAAAAATATTTTCTGTGAATTGAATTTAAAAACTGAATCGTAATTAGAATTATTTGGAATTACTCTGTCGGAGAGATCGAGAGGCTTCTCATTTTTTTAGATTTTATTTTGGATTATTTTATTTTTGAGGGTGAGTGGAATTCGGTGGATAAATGGACATCGGATTAATTCCAGACTATCGGAAAATTCAGGAGGGGGAGGGACTGAGGATGAAGGGATTAATCCCGGAAAATTTGATAGCCATGAAATCACAACATTTATCAGCGCGTCATTAATCCCATAAAGAGAATTTTACACTAAAAAAAATTTCGACTTGGAGATTTGAGGTTGTATTTTTCAATCCATTCGTCTAGCTCGTTAAATTCATTCGGATTTATTTGAACTATCCCAATCCAATCGAAATTCTTTCACTTTTTATCCCAGAATATTTTTGGTTTTTTTTTTCACGCGTTTCTTTTTTCTCAGTGAAATTCAGTGGATGAAAGAATATTGATTGTTAGATTATTTCATAATATTGGAAATTTTGGGAGAGGGCGAGAGGGTGGGAGGGGGTGGTAGGGGGTGGTAGAGGATGAAATTTATGGAATTTGAGAGCCAGGGAATGTCCGCCCCATAAAGTGGTCGACTCTGTCCCAGTGAAACAGTTAAAAGCGAAATAAAAAGATAGAAATTCATTGGATATTTTATATTCATGGTGCAATATATTTTTTCCACCCTTAGAATTATTGACGAGGAAAATAGAATCTCAAACACCTGGAGAAATTCTCAGTATTCCCTGGCTCTTTGATAACATATTTATTACCCTCGATGTTCATTCAATTATTCTGTAATTCAATTAAGTTCGAATTTTATTACACTTTCGTTTGATTTATTGGAAATTGAATGGGGAGAGAATTCTTTTTTGTCGCAGATCGAAAATATCGAGGAAAAAGTGAGTTTTCCTCTTCATTTCCGATGAAGTGATTCGTCTAAAACGGTCGGACCGTTCCGTCCTTAAAAAATAAAAGGGAACAAGTGGTGGAAGAAAAAACATGAGACGAAGGGGAATTCTACGTCGTCTGATCATAGCGCTGACTGTTGCTACTTTTATCGTTGCATCTGTTGCCGGTGAGTGAAAAATAATATATTTATGGAGTAACTTATTCAAATGAATCGTCTGTCGGTTGAGAATAATTTCTATTTCATTTTCCATTCGAATAACCATAATTACATGAATTTAAATAATTTAATTAACGAAATTGATTTTAATTAAATTAATTAAAATGACTTTTGTCTACAGCCCGATTTATGTAATTTGTTTTCAAATAGCATTATCGATTACATCATAAAATACTGCAAAAAAGTATTTTCAATTTCTGGAAAATGTGAAATAACTAATAAATTAATTATTTTTCCCGATAAACATAATAATTCCACTAAAATTATTCCCTCCGAAAATCCACAACCAACAAATCGATTCATTTCAATAAATCACCAATCAGTCGAGAAACATCTCCATTATATTCCCACTCAATTCCATAATTGAAGTAATCAATTAATCAGCGCCACCCACCCCCGCTCTAATTATCGATTTATTCGCAATAAACCGCGCGATTCAAATAAAGATTTGTATTAAATCCCAAAAAACCAGGAGCAGCATAAAAATTTTTTCAAATTTCAGAAAATACAAAATCATTCCACATAAATTATTCCCTCCCCCCCCCCCCCCATTATTTACCATTTTTATGCATAAAATCCTCCACCCACTCTCGCATCGTCTCGAGTTGATCACAAGAGGTGAGTTTGTGCCTCTAGAGTTTAGTTTATGAGCGGGAAAACGGATGGAGGCAGCGCCAGGGGGTGGGATTGAGTGGGTGGTGAAGGGGGCG